ACTGCCGCAGCAGCGATGCCACAGTGAGGGGAGCTCCATTCCCCAGCCCAGGTCATGGGGAGCACCCGGTGATGGAGCCAAGCTGCGTCAGGGACCCACGGGCAAGCACCCAGTCCTGTCCCGACCGCCGCGGTGCTTCGGTGCTGCTGTTCTCTCCCCTTCCCGGCTGTCCCGTGTGGCTCCCATCTGCCCTGAGTGCCCGGGTTTGCTGGCGCTGAGCAGTCCCCTTCTCCCTTCTCCCTCCTGCTCCTCGCTCGGGGCAGCCATCCTGGGGGTGGGGAGGGGTCTGGTGGGCTCCTGCCTCCTCCCAGCTGAGCTGACGGTTTTTCTTCCTTCTCTGGTCTCCCTCTCCATCTCGATCTTCCCCACAGCTGAAAGCATCGCCGCAGGAGGAGCCTGGGAAGGACGCGACAAAAATAAGTGTGAGTTTGGCTAATGGTTCTTGCAGGGGCTCCGGTTGAGGGCTCGACTGGAGCGTTTCCCTGCGCTGCCGGCACTCAGCGTTGCACGGAGCTGGGGTGGTGGGCGGGAGGGTCTTCTGGGGTTTGTGTCCCTGTGCAAGGCTGGGTGCCCCGGATGAGGTGTCCTGGGAAGCGAAGGGGTGCGCTGGTTGTGCTGGTCCCACCACACCGTGGGCTGTCACCACCGGGGCGGGTGGGCTGGATCTGCCCCGGCGCGGCGCTGGGAGGAACCCGGTCCGCCCCCCCCCCAGTGCTGAGGGTCACAGCCTGGACCGTCAGCTCCGTCCTGCTCCTGTCGGCATCTGAGGGACACATTTACGCTAAGAAGAAAATAATCTAATTTACTCACCAGATTAGTGTCTCAAAGCCATTTAGGCTCACGTGAACAGAATGAGGAGACACTAATCAGTTAAATAAAATAAACGCTCTCGGCCTCCCGCTGTCAGACCCGTGTCCCCCTGCTGCCGGTGGCCCTCCCCACCTCAGGGGGCTCCGCGTTTGGGGGTACCACAGAAACAGACCAATATTGGAATGTGCTTCCCACCATCGCCCCTGCCCTGGCAGCCTCTTCTGGCTCTTCCGTTCTTCCCTCGCTGAGCGAGCAAGGGGGGACGGGGCTCGCCAGGTGCCCACGGCTCCTCGGGGCCGGGTGCCCCCCGTGCCCAGGATCAGTCCCTCTGCCTGACTCTCGTCCCGGAGAAATGACAAAGAGCCATTTACAAGGGGTAAAATGCCAGAAGACTTCATGACGAAGAACATCGCCTCTCATCTCCCATCTGCGGCGATCGTGTGTAGATTCTCTTGCTGGGAACGAACCCCCCGCGGGGACTGTATCCCCTTCCATCTAGTCACGTTGTGGCTGTCCGAGGTTTCAGCCCGGTTTGTCACCATTCCTGTGGTGGGCACTGCGATGTGCCCACAACCCACATCCAAACCTCAGCAGGTGCCTTCAGGAT